AGAAAACAAGAGCAAAGTTTTCACTTTCGCATTTTCAGAATGTTTGCACGTCCTAATTTGAAACAGATGCTGCGGAACCTACGCAACGGCTTTCTGAAACAAATGGAATAGGTTTGAGGAAAAAACACGAAGCGAGAATGGACAAGTGCAAAAACAAAATTTTGTCGGATACGCAGAGCAGAAAAGCGCTCATTCTTCAACTCCGCTTCGAGATCGAAGTTCTGCTGATGAAAAGAGGAAGCGGGGTAGAGATATAAGGCCACAATGAGAATAATCTGGAAGAAAAACCGTTGAAAACGGTCAAAATCCTCCAACTCCCGCCGTTCAAAACGTGCGCGGGGCGGTTGCAGCGCATGCCGCGCAGTTCCGGAAAATTCCAGCACAGTGCGGGAACTGTGCGGGAACAGTTCCGTAACTGTATCAGTATGAATCAGTATGAACCCAGCCTTAAAGAAAGCTCTGTGACAATAAAATACTACACTACAATAAACAAAATAATACAATACTCACAATCAGAAACAGCTGGAAAATTTATTACTAACACAGTTACGTTCGTTCACTACAGATATAGACATTGCCAATGTGCTCGTTAATTCATTATTGATTTAGTGTGAAAGCGGTCTTCCCGATGGTCATCGAAAATCTAATTGCACCGACTCAGATGTTCCCAACCTAAGTATTTCAACAAGAAAAAAAAACTATAACGGTTTTGATGTTCTGCCTGATTTTCTAAAGGCAAGTTTGGCCATTGCGCTGAGAAAGTCCACTAATAATTGTACTGTTGAGAAGAAATTAGTGACATCTTGACGGGATTTCTTTTTATAAAACTCCGCAAAGGTCTTCTTCATAAGTGAATCATGAACGAAAATGTGAATAAAATTTGGGGCGTATCGTACGCGAATGGTGTCTTACTTTTACATTGACTTAGAATTTTATGTCGCTCGTGTTCTGAAGAGCATTACAAGGTAATAGAGTCGTTCCAATGTTTAGGTTTCCTTGTATTATAGCCTATAAGTTTGCCATAAGATGATTCTCAAACCATGCTTTTTCTGCTCTCAATATCACAAAGTTGCACTCTTTATTTTTTATATATTTTTCTCCACTGATAATCAAGGATATTTTGTAATAGATTATACTAGGACATGTCTGAAGCATAAAATAACGCTTTTTTTGGTTTTATGCTAAATTCAATTATCTCAAGAACTAGCGCTTGTAAAAGGCTGAAATTCACGGTTGCACCTGCAAAAAAATCCTTTTCGAACCACCCATTTGGGAACATTCAGCATTACTGTCGAGAGCATGCCAAATGCATATTCAAATATCTGATGCGGAGAGCATATGCATGACCCATTTAGAGCAGGCGCCTTTTAGAGAAAAGTTCGATTTTTGGGTACTTGAAGTTGAATTCCAACTTCACACTTCGCGTTAGCCACTCTTTGTACCTTGGTTTTCTATTAAATAGTATACAGAGTGTTCCAACAAATGTGCACACTGTTTGATCCTTAATTCTCCTGCATTAACATCTTTCGCCGAACTTTAGGAACCATTCTGTAGAGCAGACTTCTACTTCAGATTTACAATGTGGAGCAAATCAACAATCACTCTTTGCTGAAATAATGCGGTAGGAACTTCAAGAAGGATCTGCCGTTGAGAGCCATATTTTGCCTCAAAAGGAAAACGAAACAAGCCAAAGACTTATATCCTATGCTAACCAAAGTGGGTGATTTTTGATATTGAACATGTATTTTACTGTAATACTTCCTGCACAAGTTAGGCAGGCAAGCATGCTGTAACAGTTGCTTATTCAGTGTTCCTCAGAAAATGTTTATACACCCATATAAAGACTCAAAATTAGTGAAAAGTTGTGTAGTGAAATTAGCATGCGTGAACCCTGCTGCTTACTCTCAGATTTCTTTGGAAATTTGTTAGAGTGCTTATTTCACATAGTTTTGTATGCTGGAATCTACATGATCCTACATCAACGAGGAGCGATTGATGATTTGCTCTACAAAGCGTTTTATTCAATGTGAGTAAATACCTTGGAATGCTATCTGAGTTTTGAAGAGATCAAAGGCAGCGTCACCCAGATTTTCGTCTTTGATGTTTTTACCATTTCTAGGTCTTTCCGTGCCTCAGATTCTGAATAAAAAAATGAATGGGGTTCAAAATAGGTGAGACTCTGAAAAACCCCTTTTCTAAAACCTTATTTCGACGAGCGGAACGAGTGTAGTCGTATGCAACATGAATACTGTTGCACAGTGAGCGTTTCCACTGTGCTTGCCATGTGAGAAGCGTGAAAGAGTCGTCCCTGGATGGGCGGAGCGCGGAAATCGTCCGAAGGGTTCTGCGACATTCATTCATTTATTACATAGGATGTCGTATGCATTAACCATCAACGGACAAGTGCTACAAAACACAAACCATTTGTTAGTAGCGAAATACAAAAACGAAGAAAAGAAAGAAAGAAAGTTTTTATTGTAAAAGCAAATAGTCATTTGAAAGCGTCTCAAACTGCGAAAGCTTTACAGGAAGCATTCCTCTTCTCATTAGTCTATCCAGATTACTACTAATTCTGTTCGTAAAAAATCTCCTCCTCACATTTCTCCTTGCTCTAGGTACCACTATCTTTCTTACCTCCCCTAGTTTTAGAACTTTTAGTTCCGAACAAGGAGAACGGCTGAAGTTGATAGTCCTTGAATATAATCTTATGTGCTATAATAAGATCAAACTCCTCCTTCTCATGGCTAAACTATATAACCCGAGTTCTTTGTTTCTGAGCGTCCCCTTGGGTAATTGTTTATAGCGAAGGCCTTCGGTCCGTATAAGCAATTTCCTTGTAAAATTATTCTGCGCTTTCTCAAGCACCCGAAATGAAGTGGCTTTTGTAGGGTTAAATACTACAGTACCATATTCTAGTAACGACCTGATATAAGTTATTTAAGTCCTAATGAGAAGGCATGTGTCACCATTTGATAATGCTCTGAATAAGTTATATACCGCCGCATTACCTCTTACAGCAACTGCTTCACAGTGCTTATCGAAACTCAGGTTACTGTTGACCAGAAACCCTAAGTCTCACTTCATTTACACAGTCAAGGTACTCTCCTTCAATCTGATATCGATAATCTGAGTCAGTAGTACCATTGTGGAGTACCTTAGTTTTTTCCCGATATGGGCAGCTTCCTTTCTATTGGCCATGCAACCACTGCATCTAGCGCTCGCTGAATCTTGACTCTATCTTCATCTGTTGATACTGTAGCATAAAATTTGAAATCATCAGCGAAGCCGCAACACGACACTCCCATTCTGGAGACTAATGCAGGAAGATCATAAGTATAGATGTTAAAAAGAATTGGTGACAGGACGCCACCCTGCGGTCCCCACTAGTCATTGCTCTGAGTTTTGAAAGTACGATTAATATGAACACTGAATTTGCGATTAAATAAAAAGGCAGGAAAACGATTATGCACGGGTGTATTCCTACTGATTTCATTTTGAGAATGAGTTTCGAATGCGGTACTTTGTCGAATGCTTTGGTGAAATCTAGATAAATAACATCAATACTATGCCAGAATCTACCGACAGACGACTTGCAGGTCCGCTTTCTCGTTTTCAAACGCAGTTGGGGCACTTTTAGGGCCCCTTAAACATCGTATGGTTAGTAAGTTTTTCGTCCTCTCTTGTTGAAACCTCGGCATAATTCAAACTGTGTCAGTATAATGTAGCCAGCACGAGGTTTGGGGAAGCAATTTATTACATCAGTGGCCTAACGCGTTTCGACTACTCGTCGTCTTCGGAGGTCTAAAGTGGTGCGGGATTAGTGATCTTATGTCTGCCCCACCAAGTGCTTCGTCAACCCTCGGTCAGCTTCTCGATCCCCTCTCAAGTTTTACATGCAAAAGTCGCTAGATGGGAGAAGACGAACAAACCTTTGCTCCACCGCCGGTCACTTGATGATATAGTGCGACCGCTTCCTTGGTGACAGTAGTGCCAATGAGTCACATTAAGCGGCTCATTGTAGATGTAATCATCGCACTACTCTATCATAGCTCACACAGTGATAAAATGGCATGAAGTCATTCGTAACGGCTAAGCACTCGTTTCTGTTGTTCATAAGCGGCTTTTTGCGTGTGATCCACAACTTCGCCCAAACCTCGTGCTGGCTACATCATACTGACACAGTTTGAATTGTATGGTTAGTTGGGTAGAGTGGATTTTGGGTGGACGCTGCATACAAGCAGATAGCAATGGTAACGAAAGCAAACATATGTTAAAAACTCAGAACGCTTCAGGTAATATCCGAAGTTAGCAGCAACGAGCATGTCAAGAACACATCCGTGGTGTTACACCTCGAAAATGATGCAAGGGCTAACGAAATAAATCGAAAGCATAGCCTTACCTAAAATGTGATTTACCACAATGTTTCGTGCCCTAGCTTCGGCTACTTGTATGTGGTGGCGCATCCTGATTTATGATGTATCGAATAAACAGATGACAAGTTGACAGCAGACATGGAAGAACAGCAAAAATGATTTTTTATATGTAATGGTCACAAGCAAACAGCATTTCGCAAATTTCTAATAATTGTGTCTACGTCTGAGATATAGTACTTTGTCTGAGCTTACTATGAATGTGTCAACATGAGCAGCTATAGAACGCAAAACTTGATGTCAACTACTTTGCGGTGGAGTCGCGAAATTCACATTCTTCTTATTGTTAGTAGAATTGAATAAGAATATGCTGGTCTGTGTATTGGTGGATTCTGAACCCACCGAGCGGTGTTTTCTCGAATGCAAATTAAAAGAATAAGCATTGGCAAGTGCTAGTTAGCGAAAATCTTTGATTTCGTAATTATTATTGGAATTCAATGAAAAGTCGAGCTAATTCCAACGTAGGAAAACAATAGATTGAATTGTTCGAAAATAGAACAGTTCAAGTACGAATACGTAGGATTTCCGATATAAATGACTGATGAAAGTCACGATTAATATTTATTACCGGTAAAACATCCAAGATAAGAACTTGGTAACTTTCAAGCAGAACGGTCAAAAGTGATGCGAGTCAGAATGCTGGGAACGTGAAAAATTGAAAATGAAGTAATGAGCATGGAAGAAGTCACGGTCAAACAGACGCCGTCACGACAAAGGCACAAAAACGTTACATTATGAAGTTTTTGGACCTGTTTTTATGATACCCAGATAGTGGACAGATTTTGTGGACCATTACATCACTTCTCTCTCAAGCCTTTGGGCTTCAATGTCCAGTCGATTTGCTAGTGACATATTGCCATCACTTTCCGCTACGCAGGAAGCCAACTTTACGTCACACGCGATGAACGATGAAAGACAAGGCGGAGATCTGCTAATCTCCTGAAAATCATAAGAGTTATCTAGGTTTCACTGTCACAATAAGGTGAGTACTCGCAGAACTGGAAAAACTACAAATAAATGACTCTGACCACTTACAGTATGCAACGTTTTCAAATACTGTCGAACTGCTGGAGCATTGTCAATGGATCGCCACCGCAGATCACCAGCACCGCCAGGACTACTCGGCTGAAGACATTTGGATGATAGAGAAATATTATTACCCTAATTTCCGGGGTATAAGGCGCAGTAGCTTTCACCGCGCGCGGACTGATGAGCGATGACGTTCACGATGCGCGGCGCCGCACAAGCAGAACAGCAATCTCGCCCAGCAGTAGCTTTTGCTGCCGTTCTTTGCTGATCTACTCTCAACAGTGATTTATTTTGAAACAGATCTCTACATTCTTTTTTATTCTTCAAGATAAACAAGAATATGACAAAAATAAATAAAATATACTTCAAAATACCAGTAATATCATTGTAAAGAAAGCCCAGTTTTAGTACCAGTAGCATTATTGAAAACGAAGGAAAGCACAAATATAGCACCGGTAACACCCTTTGAAAAAAAAGAATCATTTAAACACCACCAATATTGATGAGAAAAAAGTTCAATGAATCAAAATCAAAAAAAACACAATCTAAGCACCTACGTTATCATTATTGACAAGATTCATTGATGAGAAGCTGTCATTGAGATCATCTATGTCCACATCTGTTAGCAAGGCTTCGTTAAATCCATTCAGGACCGAATCAACGCTGACATCTTGAAAACTGTGGAGCACCCATTCTGCAAGCAACTCTAAACGCGGCGGCTTTCTTTTTCCTCCTCCAGACAATTGCACCTGATTACTGTCTGCCATCCAAACGTCCCAATATTTCCTCAGATTGTCCTTGAACGGCTTGTTGACGGCCACATCAAAGGGTTGCAAATATTTTGTCAATCCTTCTGGTATAACGGCAATTTTGGAAACGCTCTCAATCTCAGCTTTAACTTCATCGCTCAAGTGCGACCTTGCGAATCGAAAATGAGCATTGAGCGAAATCTCACTTTGGGCATGGTAATCCGCTTGAATATCAGCATCGGTTTGAGTTTGTTGCCATCCGCAGTGACACCCAAAACGACCGTCAGATTTTTCCTTTCATGACCCGTCGTTGCGATTGCTACGTCATCTTTGCCAGTAACTTCAATGGTTCGGTTGCCTGCTACGTCGTATGGGACAGGAACTTCGTCAAAATTTCCTAAGTTTGCTTGCTGGATTGACATTCAATGTGTTCTCCATTACATAATTTCTGAAGTCAGCCATTTTGGCTTCGGCATCCGGTGGGAGCGGCTGGCCAACGCTGGTTCGATGTCTGACAGAAAACCCTTTCCTTTTCATGAAGCTATGGCACCAGTGAGCATTACCGGTGAAATCGTCGTATCCAAGCCTCTGTGCCACTTCAATAGCTTTGGTCCTCAATCTAACTGTTGTAACTCTTCTTCCTTGATCACGCTGTTCGATTATCCACACCCTCAACTCTTCTTCCGGTACCGGCCATCTTGGTGGAGCTCCTCTACAGTCTGCCCCAATCCCAACCAGGCCAAAATTGGCATGGCGGGAACCCGTGTCGCGAGGGTATTGCGTCACGTCTACGGCTAGCCAGTCTGCTCTCTCCCCAATTTCTTCGCTCTCTGCGACAGCGCGCGTATGCAGCGCAGACCCCTAGCGTTGCGAGCGCGCAAATTCAGTCAGCGGTTCGGCCTGATCCCGATTGGGGCAGACTGTAAACGCTCTTTTGGTTCTTTCGCAACTCCTGAGTTTCTGTTCATCACTTCGCCATTTTCGTATCATCCTACGATCGACATGGAAATGTAGTGAAGCTTGGGCCACTCCATACTCAGCTGCATAGTCCACTGCTTTCAGCTCAATTTCAGCTGTGTATGACTTCCTCCCACCTGTAGAAACGATATTAAAATATACATTCTGAAAAGAGTAAAAAAAGTACCTGAAGACATGAATCGTGGGCAGTGAAGAACAATGACAACTCTTGAGCTTGCTAGATTTGGAAAGCAATCATTTAGAAAGTGTTTTCGCGCCATTGTTCGCTGCGGCGGGTGCGCCTTATACAAGGTGCGCCTTATACCCCGGAAATTAGGGTATTTCTAGCCGGATAGCACAATGCTGTAGATTGGTCTCCATATTGGGTCAATTTTTTGATCATTTACTTGGAATCAAACATCCCTTCGTAAAAAAATTTCGAAGCTGGAATTTTGCAAAATCCTACGCATATATACAGCGGAAGCACAAGTTAAAGATGGCAAAAATATCAATTCCAAGAAATTCTGCATTTTCATCGTGAATGTGAAGAAATATAGTAGAAATTTGGACCAATCTACTTGTATCCTTTATCCTTTTATCCTATCTATCTACTCTATCCTATCTAGTTATCTATCCTTTTGATATTTACAGGAATAGTTCGATAGAATTAACTTTCGTGTCAGAAACTGTCACAACATTTATCACAATCAGAATTTTTTGCTGTTTAAGAACCTCGAAAGTTGCACTGAGTCGTGCCTTATAGTGCGTAGAAAAAAGCTTTTTTCACAGCCTACCATTCTCATTCTTTCCAGCTCTTTTGCCAACTTTGTCACTTTACAGCTCGGGCGTTCAACTCGGTGATCAAAAATTTGCCTCAGTGTCCAATCCTCCTGTTGTGCTAGTTCATGCTCATCAAGGCAGCTGAAAATTCTTTTGATGATGTGAGTACTCATTAGCTCAGGTCAGTGGCGTACCCAGGATTTCCGCTCGGGGGGGGGGGGGGCGCGACAAAAAAATTTTTCAAATAAAGGTGCGTGGCGTTAGCCACGCACTCCAAAAAAATTTTAGGGGTGCTTTTCAAAATTTTTGCGGGTCTCCAACCCCTAAAATTTGAAAAAAGGGGGCGTGGCGTCAGCCACGCCCCCGAAAAAATTTTTTTACAAGGCTAATTTGAATTTTTAAAAAATTTTTAAAAATTATTCTAATTATTTACAACTATAAACAAGTCATTTGCACATTTTTATAACCCTTATAAGTAACTTTCAAAAATTTAGTGACCCATTCTCGGGGGGTGCGCCCCCCCCTCGGTACGCCACTGGCTCAGGTATACCTCTCAGTAACCGAGATGGGCACTCGTCCATGACCCGCAGTTAATATTTCGATTAGTTCTTGCTTTCTGGCTTCATTGGTAAGATCGAACTGCATAACCTCTACGCCAGGGCCTCGAAGACTAATTGAGGCGACGTCGTCCAGCGGAGGTAGGACCATCGGAGCTAAGCCATAGTAGTATGGTATTGAAGGAGACGTATTCTGAATAGCCGGAGATTCAAAATAAGTATACTAGCACCACTTGATTCTAATTCTGGAGATTGGCAGACAGTTTTATAATTGCTCAAATCATTGACCTTGAAATGTATTTCGATATCGCATTGGATTGGTTTATTTCTCCGTCTACACATGGGTACAATCAAACGAGGTTCGACGGCATGTGTCCATAGGAAGCGCAACGGTTGGTGGTATAGCCTAGGTACACAGATCCTCTCTTAAAGGCAGTGTCCAGGCAAATCTGGACCCTTTGGTTTTTTGCGTGGTAACTAATGGGGAGCCACTGACTAAACCACTGCCCGGGATTCACTCATACCAAAGAAATCGGCGTCCGAATCGGTCGTCCCCGCGCCGTGACCGTAACACTTCAACAGTCTAAACGCACATCACGGTCCCGGCGCGAAACCATGAGGACAGGGTGTAGAGCGGAAACTCGTTGGGAGGGTACGAAATAACACGGAAAATGAAGATATCTCAAATGTAATCAACGAAAACACCATGAACAACGCGGAAAAGGCAGCCGAGAGAAGCCGCCGCAATAAACATGGAAAACAAGGGCAATTCACGAAAAGCAGAAGAATTAGGAAATTTGCAGTATTTGTGCAACGAGTTTGCGCGCTACATCCTGTCCTCATGGTTTCGCGCCGGGACCGTGATGTGCGTTTAGGCTGTTGAAGTGGTACGGTCACGGCGCGGGGGCGACGGGCTCGGAGGCCGATTTCTCTGCCGTGAGTGAGTCCCGTGCGCTGCAATTCGGGCAGTGGTTTAGTCAGTGGTCCCCCATCAGTTTCCATGCAAAAAACCAAACGGTCCAGATTTGCCTGGACACTGCCTTTAAGTACATCGAAAACGCCGAAATACCTGTTGTCTGCGACATTATGGGCGACAATCGGGTACATCGACATCACAAGAAGAGCTATAGAAAGGTTGTCGCGTTTGAAGCCATACCTGAAAACAGCTTATGTCAAAGAGGGCATTTATTGCACACACCTGTTATATCTTGCTCGCATAAGTGCAGAATAAATCATGACAAAATCCACACAAACGCAAGCGGGAAGTAAATTTCTTGGATTTTTTTAGTGCACTACATTTCGCAAAAGCTGAACGGAGCTATGGTTCAATCTCGCGAACTTTCCCAGACACGGATGAAGCAGGCTCGAGTTTTCAAGATATTTTTTGAGTAATTATCTATTACGGAGATAACAGTTCAAATTGCTTCTTTATGACCAGATCAGCAAATAAAATGCACGTCGAATGGACCCACAAGATTACTTACACACAATCCGAAATCTAACCTTACGTCTGGAACGACGGAAGGGATATTTTTTGAGAAAATGACAATTTACCTTCCATCCCCCAGAAACAGCATGGCCATTGCTCTATGTAGGGACATCTCTTCATGGTACTTCCATAGATAATGAGACCAGTAGGAGAGCTCATAATCATGACAGCGGCGATATCGAGCAAATCTGATGGTTTCTACCTTCCCACGTCCAACATCCAACTGTTAAAAAACCAAATGTTTTATATAAGAACCACAGACTCTATAGCAAACTCACGATTCCCATGCTAGTCAGCATCATATCCGCGCAGAGATTCACTACACTTCGACTTGCAGCTCTAATCAGATGTCTGGCTGGCCAGTCAATGCTCTCAATATTGAAGTCATGCATCAGGTACTGCATTCGTTCCTCCTATAATTTATTTGACGTTTTAAAATAGGTAGACCATTACTCTCCAATCCTGATTTACTCATATTGAGAAGTGTAATTTGCCTAGCCCTTTGTTTGAAACTATCTATGAAGCAGTGGTAGTCCAAAAGATTTTGTTCGGGTATGAAAAGGAGGGCGGGGAGGGGAGGGAGGGGAAGAGACGAAAATTTATCTTCAATAAAGGGACGTGGCGTAGCCATGCTTTGCGAAAAATATTCTTGTCCGGTTTCCCAAATTTTTACAAGCCGGCAAGCCTATTTCCAAAAACAAAAACAATTTACAAAGCCAGTATACATTAAAAACATTTTTACACTTATTCTAACTATCCAAGGGTAAAAACAGGTAAATTGCGCAAATTTACAACCCATGCAGGATATTTTTTTGAATCCTTCTCGTTACGCCTTCCCCCCCCCCTCCCTCCAATACTACGAAGATAGGATAGAAAAGAACCCACCAATATGGACGATACCTTTTTATAGGTATCATCAACTATTCCACTATATTTCAAAGACATTGCAAAGCACGCTCCGCTCATCGCATACAAGTATACCTAAAAATATTCGAAAATTCCAGTATTTATACCGCTATCATTTACCTCCGCCACAGTCTCCTTATCAACCACTTCGTCCCAGTACGCCTGTTCCTTTTCCGATATCTCAGCCTCAGCAGTTGATGGGAACTTGAGCACACTTTTAGCATAGTCATGAATTACGCTGGGAATCTGCAGAAAAGGTAAATTCGTTCTAAGAGCTAAAAGTGACAAAATTACCTGTTTGTCTATCCATTCAGCTGTCGGTTGAATTTCATCCCAAAGTACAAGACTGCGCGCTAGAACCCTAACAAAAATCTGAAACAAAAATTTTCGAATTGTCGACAAGAGCTCAAAATTTGCAAAATTAGAATGCAGAGAACTTTGAGACACTGCCATCTGTTTTTTTTTCTTTTAGAAGTTTAGCAATTACCTACCAAGTCAGGCCTAATTTCTTCTAGCAATGAGATTGTTGCTGGTAATTCCAATTCTCTAGCGATTGCTGCATTTCCAGTCCTCATGTACATCAAACCCAAAGCGATTGTGGCCGGATGAGCCGTCATGTGGATATTGACATTTGGTCCCTCCTATATAGCATTTGCTACGAAGGCCAAAACGGTACCTTAAGTGCTCTAATACTCACCCGAACATGATTCGATCGAGCCTCCTGCGGTGGTGTTGTAGATGCCGCTTGAGCTTCTGGACATGTCATCATCTGGGGATGAATGAAAACACATTGGTTCTAAAATGAGACTCAAAATAATATTCGATACTTTGCTAAAAATCAATCAAAAAATTACCCTGGGTCCTCCGAGCATAAGAGCAAGAAGTCGATCAGGAATCGATGGAAGTGGTTGCTTGAAAGGAGGTCTGGCAGCTTCTATCTCATCACCTGAAAGAGAAATGGGCTTTAGCAAGAGATCAAGGGTTTTAAGAGAGAAAAGCTCGAAATTGCAAAACAATTATCTTATATATAAAGCTGAATGTCTGTTTGTATGTATGTCTGTCTGTCTGTATGTCTGTCTGTCTGTATGTCTGTCTGTCTGTGTGTACGTATGTTCCGAATAGAAAATTCCATTTCTGAACCGATCCGGACCAAACTTGGCACACATACACTACGGGCCCCGGCGGGTGTCATAGGCTACTTTTCGTCATCGATCGATATCGATTTTATCGATTTTTATCGATTTTTTTGCTGAGTTCACCTACGGGGCTGGGAGTTGGCACAGGGGGGTAATCGAGCATGGGGATTCCGAATACAATATTGGTTTTCAGGATTATCGATTACTTTTATCGATTTTATCGATTTTTTTGCAAAGTTTGAGCTAGGGGGCTGGGAGTTGGCACAGGGGGGTAATCGAGCATGCTGATCATCCCCAAGGGGGGTGATCAGCATGCTCGAACACCCCTGTGCCAAATTCCAGCCCCCTAGCTCAAATTTTCAAAAAATCGATAAAATCGATAAAAGTAATGGACGATCTTGAAAACTAATATTGTATTCGTAATCTGCATGCTCGATTACCCTCTGTGCAAACTCCCAGCCCCGCAGGTCAAACTTTGCAAAAAGATCGATAAAATCGATAAAAGTAATGGACGATCCTGAAAACTAATATTGTATTCGGAATCCCCATGCTCACTTCCCCCCTGTGCCAACTCCTAGCCCTGTAGGTGAACTCTGCCAAAAAATCGATAAAATCAATAAAAGCAATCGATAATTCTGAAAACTAATATTGTATTCGGAATCCCCATGCTCACTTCCCCCCTGTGCCAACTCCTAGCCCTGAAGGTGAACTCTGCCAAAAAATCGATAAAAATCGGTAAAATCGACATCGATCGATAACGAAAAGTGGACTGTGACACCCGCCGGGGCCCGAAGTGTATGTGTGCCAAGTTTGGTCCGGATACGGCGGAGCCGGGTAAGCCAGCTAGTATGAGATAATACAGGGCACTGATAATTTCATACCTACCTAATCCAAGACATATAAGTCCGATGGCAAAGCCTGCGCTCAGCTTATAGGCGGACAACTCAGGCGAAGGTTCTTCATCAGCTCGAAGAGATTTGCCTATCTGAAAATATACCCAACTAATATTCGAAGTTAAACAATGCCAGTAAAGGTCATGCTTCTCGATCAAAACAAACTCCCATACTGTGCCCTTTGAATAAATGCCAATCTAAATCTTGCTGGCGTCAGAAAATGCAGATAATGCCAACTTCATTCAAATTTTCTATTTCAATTCTTCCGCATTTCCTCGCAGTGGAAGGCGATCCCAATGCACTGCGAAGCAAGACATTAGCTTCTGCGACTGTACAATTACATGCCGTTCCACGCAGATGCTAGTCGACGACTATCAGATGTTTGTTCTCGCTCTAGTCTTGATATGAGAACGCATGACTTTTACGCAGTGAGGCGCTGTAAAGTTTTTTAAGCTCTTGTACTGATCCTTCCTCCATTCGACGTTACCAGAAGTTCAAACTTTCAACTGAAGAACAAGGCGAGTATACCAAGTTGCACTAGCAAATTGGTAAGAAGTTTATCGAAAGCACCTTGTTATTCTTCAAACTCCAATTTCTAACCGGTTTCCCCTATCTGCAGAGCAGCCCTCCGAAAAATTTTATGAGCGTTTGTAAAGTTATCGATATTGGAATTGATTTTACAGAACAAAAGTCAGAAATTGTGCAACTAAGATTATATTGAGATGTTGACCACTACGATGAAATCAGTGCACCCACCAGACCTCAAATAATCTATTTCTAAATCGCTTTTCATCAAGTGTATACTTACTAAGTACTTGAAAAATTAGTAGCACAAGAGGTGTTAACTTTTTTTTAGAATAACGTTGGACAGATCTGTAAAACAGGTTTGAAATTAACTTTTTGGGATACGCTCTTCGCAAGTTTTCAGTGCCACTTGGTACGCTTCCTTTGTTAGAACAACTAACAAAGCTTCTTAGCGAGTAATATTGTAGCACTCACTTCCTAAAACTACCCTTTTTCACAATGGAAAATCGTATAGGGCTCTCCCCCCCCCCCCCTCCTCCACCTTCAAAATCCTTAGGAGCTGATAATTTGAACACTAAAGACAACAATCAATGCTTTGATTGCCCGGAAACTTCACTTCCTTTGTTTGAATACTGGTTTCTAAACAGCTACCGTCCCGGAATACACCGGAAAGGTTGTTCCTTTCCATTTCTTGACGTCAACGCAATTAAAAAAACGAACGCACTGTGAGAATGCGAACCCTCATTGGTTATGCATATTCGTCTCTCTTGGAAACGACATAAGGAAGCAATGGCGTAAGCGGTTCCCTGCATCGTCGATCACATAAAGACGGTGTTTCAGAAATTAAAAATCAAAACCAAAAGACAGAAAAACTTAGCTACCAAATCATCAGCTGGAATTTTTCGTATCATTACGGTCGCTATCCAAACGTGCCATTGCAACTCACAACTCAATTTTTCAGCAATACAATTTCGAAAGTAGCACTTTCTCATCACTTCCAGATAGCTGCAGTGAAAAAGTAAACTAATATCTAACTTAGCGTACCTCATTGAGTAGCTTGTTCACAACATTCGTGTGACCCGTTTGAGCGAAGAGAATGCCAAGACCAGTGACGGCACTTGTTTGAATCAGCGGATCAATCTTTAGATTCAGCATCGTCGGACCCATAAGGAATGGAAGATGAGTGGTCAGCATTTTGTGGACCTAAAAAGATCACTTGACGTAAAATAAACAAGGTTTATGAGATTTTCAGGTTGAATTCAGGCGGTATTTTGATACAAGGCACTGAAGACAAACACATTATTTTATTTTGATGTTGCTGTTGTTGTTGTTACGTTTTTCATTTTTTTCTGAATTTTTGCTCTTGTTGAAACATCTAATATGTTCGTTTCATAAATGTTAGGGGTTTTTCTTATACACCTGAGCGCTTCTAAATGAGTAAACAAAATATTTTATAAAATACATATTATATGGTAAGAAATATCTGATAGTATCAACGACTTTTTACAGAATTTTTGATGCGAGTCTTACACTCTCAACTGTTACAAAAAGCTTTTTCTAATCACTATTTCAATATGCCAAGTTGTTTCATAATACTGATTCAATGCACTCTTCGACGGTTTTTTCAGGAATTTTGAAGAGTACGGTATTCCGTTGAATTAAAGTTTTTTTGTAATTAGATGATTTAGCTCCAAATTTGTGCTTAAGTGGTACGTTGAGCAAATCACCTTCTCATTTCATAATGATATCTCGATGCCGGAAAAGTGGACGTCATACTACTGTAATTTGCACTCAGAGTGCTTTTCATGTATCTATTAGCCCCCAAAGATTGATCGCGACCAGCAATGCGGTAATGCAACCCACTTGAACTTTTTGAAGTACTCTGCTGAACATATAAAAATCAATGCAAACAACAAATTATCATTATAGTTCCGGTTTCCTTTTTCGGATTCATCAGTTATATTTTCCTTTTTGTTCATTTCCTTTGTCATTAACTACTTACTTCCAAAACTCCACATATACTGGACTTTGCGCTTTCGACAGGTCATCGAACCTTTGCTCTAATCTTCCAATATCCCCTCCCCCTTTTCACATTTCAAAAGTTTATGTTTTTTATGTTTGTTCAAAGCTCAAATGTTTTGTGCTTCTGGAGAATGCTAGTTATTGCTAACGTCATTTCATCGTCACTTCACCCCTAATTGTGCGTGAAAAAAATGAGGATCGGAAGCAGAGCCTCAAACGTTCCGGAATTCATTATAGCCCCCTGCCTAATAACAGCTTTGATAATTTTTGCCACATATGAGCTGCCTTTCGCGTTTTTATAGCTGACGTCAGCTATCAAGCCAAATTGACAGCGAAGAACAGCTGCTGCTAAGCAAAGATGAGTTGCCTTTGATAAACACATATCATTCCACAAACCAACATGAAAAAAAACTGGATTTGCAGACAATTGACCTGTAACGCTAACAGGGTGTCCCAAAAAGATGTGCACACTATTTGATTTTTAATAACTCTCTTGATTTCACGTCCTTGGCCGAGCTTAAGGCACCATTCTTTAGAGAGAGGTTCAACTTAGATTCACAGTATGGAGCGACTTATCAACCGCTCTTCATTACTGTAGGATTACGGTAGGAATTTCGAGAAGGATTTTGAACCATTGAAAGCGATATTTTGCCTCAGAAAAAAGCCAGACAAGCCGGAACTTTTGAACTGGGTTAGTCAAAGTCGCTGATTCTAAATATGAAAATTGCACGTCAGTACACTGTTTAATTCATGAGGTATTTCAGATTTATGGTAACAACTGTTTTTCCAATGTTCATCGGAAATGTTAATACGCCATCAAGAAAGCTTGAAAAACTGGTGGAAAGTTATGTAGTGAAATCAGCACGTCTGAAAACCTTGCTACACAAATTTTTAGATTTTTTTGAAATTATTTTATCAAATGGTTTACTCCACAATGACACTGTATGCCAAAAGTTCATACCGTGATCCTACAGTAATGAAGAGCGATTGGTGATGATCCATACTGTAAATCTAAGTTTATCCTCGCTCTACAGAATGGTACCTCAAGCTCGGCAAAAGACATGAAAGCAAGAGAGTTATTAACGATCAAGCAGTGTGCACATCTTTTTGGGACACTGTATACTTAAATCCCTACATTATCAAATTTCTTAAAAATACTCAGTCCAGAATTTGCAAAGTCTGAATGGAATTCCCACTAAACTAGCAAGAAGAACGAGGTAAAAAAGTGGTAAACCCCGCCCCTATTGACCCCAACCTCCTCCCTCCTGCACATAAACATATGCGAAACTACAACTAAAAATTTCGCTTTGTACATTACAACTTGAGGAATAACAATTGTTGCCGGAAAAATCCGAAAACTTTCTTAACAACCTGACAGATAAACTTCAGTAACCAGATCACAGTTCTATAATGTCATTGTCTGCTAAAGGATAGATTCCTCTTTAGACCAAGACATTATTAGCTAATTCAGCTTTCAAATTTTTAAAAGTTGTTGACAAGCACGCAAACGTATCTCAAAACCCCATCGAACGTTCAGAGTTTGTTATCTTTCGTAGCTTCACAACATTTTTTGCCTTTCATGTAACATAAGCAGCACATTTGAAAAAAAACTAGCCTACAAAGGGGATTACTCCCAGCTAGCTTTCACTGATCTTTTATGATAGATCAGAAACTTATATAATTGCTCATTTGAAATCCCTCATACTAAAATCCAGCAGTTTGTTACTTCTTTCTCCAAAGTGAACGCTCAATGTAAGCATGATATGTAGATTGTAGCCATGGGAATATGACATTATTTTGTTCTTCTTTTTGTCAATATGTCTTTTGAACCTACGAATAAATCATGGTATAGTTTCTTAATATCACGGAAAGGTAAAAAAAGATACTCAACTAGAGAATTGCCCATTCATCATATCATATAAATTGACGTCATCACCAAATGCGGTAAACCAGACCTCATAATTGAGTAGCAAATGCTTGAAACTCATCGATACAAGTGAATTCGTAAAAAATTGCTTTCTTTCAGCTAAATTTCCAAAACAGCGACATTTTCCTAGACTGCTTGCATGTTTCACTTTTTTCCATAACATTTTTCTGATGTTTGCCCACATGTTACTTTTGTCCCCAACAATTATTTTTTTTGCGTTCAAAATTGCACAATTCCACGAAATGATGTCAAGCGTCGTGACTACAATGTTTATTTCAGCACGATTAAATCCCTCGTGGGTCTTTCTGTAGCTCACGAGTGGGTGGATGACCACATCCATTAGGCATTGTTTTTTTTTCTGGCAAGAAGTCTTTATATACCAGGTTTTTTTTTGGAAATAACTATAAAGCCGTAGGCTGCGACTAATGGACTGATTAAAGTTACTTTTCATGAATAATGCTCGATGCCAAAAATACAGTGATACACACAATTAAGACCGCAATTTGCTTCAGACTCTTTCCAAACCAGTTCCATGTGGAACTGTGATTGTGAAACAGCTTACCGAAAAAAAGTATGAGCGCTCAAAATCCAACTTTGTCAAGCCTCATGTGGCACAAAATTATCGAAAATCCGTACAAGAATACCTGTACGGTTTCCATTAACTCATTCCTTTCCTTGTAGTCAATGTGATCGACCAATCGCGACCAACTGACCAACCAATCACCCTTTCAGGCGTTTTTCAGTTTTCTCACTGACATTATGCAGCTTAGGACTTGACAAACTGAACTTTTCAACGCTCATAACTTTTTTCATAGAGTTGTTCCACAAAAAAAACAGATTTTAATTCGGGGTTAAAAGACGCTTTTGGTGGTTCAACTGAAGGCAATGCTTGCTGTTCTGCTGTAGACTTGGCGGAACTTCCCCCTCGCAAGATCTTATGGTCTGATATAACAATGAGATTTTACAGAAAGTGCAAATTTCCTTTGTACCGTTAAAATTTTCAGCCCGCAAAAAAACCCCTCCATCATTACCTGTTCAGAGCTGTGAACGAAAGCTTTTCACTTATCCTTTTTCATAAATAAATAAAATGTACTTAAAAAGTGTTCAAGAGGTCTCTAGAACAAGTTCGGTTTGTTTTATGACATCAGTCTGTAATCCTAAATGATCAGAAAGTGCGATCGGTCGCGCTTGTAACCAGTCGCAAAGTGGTCGTTCTTTGTTGGCTTCGCGAACGTGCTCTCGCCAGACAAACTGCATCGTTCATCATTTCTGCATATTATGACCTCGGGGATATGTTCCGTAAGTAGTACTTTACTACATGGATTGGAGAACTACGGAGGTGAAAAGTATAGGAGAGAAGAGTAAAAATTTACTCTTGATATTTGCAGGCATCCATTCAAATCCAAAGATGACGAGATTTTGATGCAGTACAGTAAGGCCCTTAAACTAAAAAACTGCGCAAATCTCACTGTAAAGTATGCATTTCGAAGCGAGATGAATGCTCCAGAATGTTAATCTTGCTGAGGTCGCCACGCCCATCAGCGCAGGTTTTCTATACATAATGTGCCCGAAACTGGAATACGGAATACCTAAATGTTTATATAATGAAAGAAGCTCTCGACATTTCTAGGTACTATTGTGCTTAGTTGCTCATTATCTTCAAACCCACAATGCCGGGCGTGGCGACCCCAGTAGCATCTACCTTCAGGAGCGATTTTTTCGCTTAGGAATACGCCTTTTGCGGCGGAGCTTGGGCATTTACTGATGGGTATTGTACTACATCAAACTCCCACCAAACTGATTCGGTGGGGAGGGGGGGGGGGTGGTTGGAGGACTATATGTGGGGTGGTCCTAGGCGGACATCTGCGACAAAGCACGTAGCTCCACACATTAGAGACGTACTAATTTGTATCAGCTGTCCACGGAGCGGAACCTATCGGCAACATATAGTCCCTGCCCCGATTTGGGTATAAAGTTCCTCTGAATGGTAATTCGAGACTTTTACTGAAAGATGATCTAGCTTCGGAAAGTGATCCATCAAAATCGCACATTCTTCCAGACTTCTATGACTGGTTCCTTCAATTCGAAGCAAGTTTTCATGACACGTCCATGCTGCGCGTATTTTGCATCAAAAACGCTCCCAAGAGTGATTATCAAAAGAGCATGCATGATAATAAAAGCGATATGGTATTTTAAATTTTATTGCTAGCTGTGAAATGTGCTAAAATAAGGTAGAAAACTGCTTGAATCATCA